GCTTAGCAAACTTGTCTGCAACACCAGTGAGAATGAATACAGGACGACTGACCCACTTCAGCCCATGTTCCTCAGCACTACCTCACCACAGAGGTACCAAAGGCAGCAAATGCCCTCCCCTATAGAGGAGGTCTGTAGCAGGGCTCATCCTATTGTTTGATCCCGAACATCACTCTGCAAGTGCCAAAACAGAAGGCATCTCTGCTATCTTTACATGTCTTTTTTATGCATGTGTTTTGACACAATCAGTAACACAACTGCATCCCATTTTCTCCACAGGCACTCAACTCTTGAACAGGACAGATGACTCATATAATGAGGTGTTACTCTTTTTTTGCTTTACTCTCATTGTTTCAATAGTCTCATCAAGCTTTATTTAATGCCTGCTAATCAGACTTTTCTCCAAATCAGATGTTAATTCCTCACTGATAGGGCTATACTATACCTGGATTTTTCTGGACATGTGTCTTTCTCTGATCAAAATTTTACCCAGGCAAATCAAAAACGTTCCACAACTCCCTAAGATTGTTGGACACGTGCTCTCAGGCCATAGCAGTTCTGCAGTACTGCTGACTGGACAGCTGAACATCTGGAATGGCCTGAACATACACGGATGAAGACTGGTGACTAATTCTGTTTCTCATTTTCCGTAAATCAGCTGTGCAGCACGATGTCGGGCATCCCGAAATGCAATGTAAGAGACACGACTAATGTTACAAGACAGAGTCACTCTGTTAGGTACCATCTGCTGGAATACAATGCTGAGGTATGCCTATACATGTTCCACTTCTACAAGACAGACTCAGGATGATCCTCTGCCACTGCACAATCCCAGAACAGGTCAATTGCCACACAGAGCAAAGCAAGGAAGCAAATTCCAGTGTTAAGAGGTGTTGATTTTCAGATTTATCCACTTTTTGTGTGCATCCATTTCCATTACCAGAGTCTAAGCAATGAACTGCAGCTGTTCTTTCCACAAATTCCTCTTACTGCTTGGAATCTTTTCCTTGCAATTAACTGAAACCTGCACTTCTCAGGTTAAGGCCATATTGGTTTTGTAAGCCAGCTTTGACCAGTTTCAGCTTCCTCTCCCTCAATTATGTCTTTGCTTCAAATAGTACAATGATCCTCTTTTCAGTTTCCTCTTCAAAGTTATAAGTTGTTAAAATAGAGACATGCAACTATATGACAATGCCTTACCTGGAAAAGCATAAACAGCAATACTAACTGGACCGTTGTCAGAGGAAGAAAAAAGTATTTTTTCCCTGCATGATGTGCAGTTCCTACCAGAAGCCTACAGAAGTCTACTTCTGACTGAAATACAGACTGTATTTTTTTCATGTGCTTGATGTATTTAATTTGATTTTTAAGAATAAGTTATTAAAAATGCAATTGTTCAAAAAAAAATTTAAATAAGACTGTCCTGCTTTATTATAAACATTATTCCTTTTATTTTGGACTTGGGTGCAGAACAACTGATCTTCATTTCTAATAATTAATTGTCCCTGTTCAGATGCAATCACTGATGCTGCTGACAGTTATCAGACATTACGTTTGCACGACAAAACCAACATTTTAACTGATCACTGTCAGATAAAATACAAACAAACAAAAGGCTTGCCAAGTTCCACAGCCAAATCCATCTCTCCCTGTTAACATGGCTTTGTTTACACATGCAGCTGTGGTCCCAGGGACTGGTGTGGAAGCTAATGATAATGACCTCACAGGATCAGAACTCCTGTTAAAAATATACCTATAAGTAAGAATGTGGCTCAGTTCCAGCAGAATTGGATTTAAACTACATTTAAATGAGATGAGAAGTGTGCTGTGCCAGTGCTATTTTCTTCCTTTTGCTGTGTGCATCAGCAGTGACACAAACGGCTACAACTGCAGCGGTGGCCCTGGGGGTTGCCATTGGAGTGTTCATGCCCTGGGCTTCTTCAAAGCAGCACACATGCCAGATAAAACACACACATACTACAGCCCAGGAAACCTAGCACCGAGGGATCTCTCAAGTCAGCTAACTGCTTTCTGCTGTTTTTTGGCTTCTTTGCACTGAAACTCTGTTTTGCAATAGCAGACGTGGAGTTAATGGGGAAATGTGTATGGAAGTGGGAAGAAGTATGCATGCAGGCCTCAAACTATTTTTGTGTGAAATCTTCTGAGAGCTAACTCAAAACAGAGAGTTACTTTAAATGCAAGTGAAAAAAAACCCCATCTTCAAATGAAGTAAAGAAATTCACCACAAGTTAAAAGTAAACATATAAGAAACCACTAAACAGTTGGTCATTGTTTTAATTAGAGATTAATTTAGAGATTTAAATTTGAGATTTAATTAGTTTGGTAAACCAAACAGAAAGTATCCTGGAGAATGAAATGGCCATTTGCAGAGCCTTTGTACTACAATTTTCTGAAGAACTAGAAAGAGAAGAATCAGAGATGGTCGTGCTATTCCTTAAACTGACTGCAAACCATACCCCTCTCCAGGCACCTCATGCACCAGTTTCAGGCACATCCATATGGTCACATCACCATTACTTGGGGTAATGAGGTGTTCATTGGCCAGGCTGGATAACATAAAGGGAAACAGCTAACACAAATGCTGTGGGGCACTCTGGGGAGCGTACTCCATACATACACAGTTGAGGCAGTGAGAGGCTTGCTAGCTTATGCTCTGTCTTAGCCCTGCTGGACCCAGGTTGGCTCCACACATCTCTCTCCTCTCCAACACAGCCTCCAGGCATTCTGGCATTAGTGCCACATCGAACCCAAGCTCATGTTCAGGTGGGAGCAGCCCTGAGGTGACGGATCTTTCCTCTGATAGAATGCAGGGCCTAGGTACCTGAAGGATTCCGTAGGGCCTGTCTGGAGCTCAACAAAGGGGAACTCTGCACAAGTCAGTGATCCCTCTGGTCCTTTGTGGAGCCACTTGCTTCTCTGCATATCGTGTGTAAGCACTTCTGGTAGAGCAAACATGCCACTAAAGACTCCTAAGATGGGTCTGTGCAGAGCCAGCTTGGGTTCAAAGTGTTTATCAGGTTGGGCTCTGTGCCAATACAGTTAAACTGTTCCTGCACCCTGGCCCTGGACACAGCACACCCATGTTCCCCCCATGCTGCAGCTCAGGAGCCCTGACAAACCATAGTCAGCTCCATAAAGACTCAGTTCTGCTGCTGCTACATTCCCACTGCAGCCAATCCACATTCCAGATAAACCTGCCACGAATAACTGCAAGTTTAATTGACTCACACATGTGTTTATAACCCTGACTCACGAGGTCAGAATTTCAGTCTGAATACTTTTCCACCTTTTGAACTCCTCTCTGAATTCCAAAGAATTGGGTCCTTAGGACTAAGAGTGCGTATTTCTTAATTAGAATCTTGCTTTTTAGAATTGTTCTAAAGAGTAGTATATATTATTTGAAATATACAGTAACAAGCATATTGTTCTTAGCGCTACAGAGCTGCTTTTAGTCTTCAGATTTCTCAGCTCATCCACAGAAGAATGAGCTTTTTTTTTTTTTACACTTATTTACACAGAAAACCAGATAAAGGCCTGGTGATGCTTCCTTGTCTTCCATTTAGTTCTCTTTCTTGAGATTGAGATCAGAGCTCAGGGCAGGATCTATTTCTCTCTATTACCTGCTCAAAAGCCCAAGTCTCCAAGAGCAAAGCATCCTGGAAGCATGCTGCAGCTGCGATGTTCACTTCTGCAGGCTGGCAAGTACCAGGAGCTGCAAGAAGCCTAAGCCTGCCTAGGATGCAGCTGACATAGGAGTGGGGGAAAGGGCAAAAAAAAGAAACCACTCAACAATCTGCAATTGCAATAAAACTCAAACGTCCCTTGGAAAGAAACCTAGCTTTGTGACATGTGAAACTGCAGTAGGAGTAGACATTCAATATTCACATACAAGGGAGTACTAATGCACTGATGCTTTTAAGATACAGATTTTCAGAAAGGAAAAATAACACCCTCTAACATACCAAACATAAACATGTATATTTTCAGTATGATATTGAGAGAATATCATATATATTAGTAAAACTGCAATTTTATTCCCCCTCATGGCTGTTGGAGAATACAAGATAAAGAATAACACTAGAACTGTCTTCAGAGAAAATGGAGAGAAGAAAGGGAAAAATGCCAGTACTGACATCATGACAGTAATGGGGAGGGGGAATAGAAATGTAGCAAAACTATTTTTAAAAAAGTAACACTGTGGCTAGACCAACTACTGCAACAAAACCAACAGAGCCTAAGAGTGGTTGTAGGACACATGAAACTGGAAACTATAAACTCAACTACTTGGAGAAACTTTGCAGGCCTCACTCTGACCATTGCCTCCTCTGCACCCATCACCCGGCCTCCAGTCTGCTCTGCCTTCTGCACATCCCTGCCCTCCCATCTGCTCTGTCACTCCTCCTCCGGCACATCTCTCCCATCCATCTATCCACCTACGTTCCCATGTGCCTCTTTCCTGGTATTCTTTCCGTCCTCAACCTCCAACAGAGTCCTCCACCGGCACTCACACGCCACCCAACCCATCCTGCCCCCGCCGCACCCCCGAACCGCACTCCCCCACCCGCGTTTCTCGCGCATCCCCGCACCCCGCCTCGCGCCTCCCCTCCGCAGCCGCAGAGCCCCCGCGCAACCCTCGCCTCCCTCCCGAGAGCCCCGCAACGCCCCGCGCCCACCCCCTGCAGCCGGCCTTGCCGCGCCGCCCCTCCCTCCAGCCCCTCCCGCCCCGGCGGCGGCACAGGGGCTTTGCCCTCGCTGTTCGGACTGATGAGCACCCTCAGCGCCCTCGTTCAGAGCGAGCCTCCCCCTCCCCACAGGAGTCTCCTCCGAAGCACCCATCTGCCCCCCTCCGCCGAGGCCGCTGGGGGCTGTAGTTCTCCCCCGCGGCCTTTCCCGGCAGCCCCCAGCGCCCGGCGGGGGGCGCGGACTACACTTCCCGGCACGCTCCGCGGGCGCGGGGGGGACCCCCTCCCCACCCCTCCGCCAACCTCTACCGCTGGTTCCCCCCCATCCCCGCCGCCTCCCTCAGCGCGGCGGGGTTCGAGCTGCCGCCCGCTGCAGGCAGCGCCGCCGTGAGGGGCTGCCCCGCCACCGGGCCCTGCCGTTACCTGGGAGAGCCGGGGGTGCGTGTCCGCGGGCGGGAGCGGCGCGGGGAGGGGGCGCAGCGCTGCTGCTCTGTCAGCCCAGGGCGGGGGGGCCGAGGCGCGGGGGGCGGGCGGGGAAGGGAAGGGGGTGCGCGCGCGCGCGCGGCGACGGGCGGTTGCCATGGCGGCGGCGGGCGCGGGGAGGGAGGGAGGGGACGGCACCGCCACCGCGGCTCCGGCCTCGGGAGCGCGCCCGCCGCATCCGGCCGGCGGAGGTGGCTGCGGGCGCCGCCGCCCAGCCCGCGTTTGGCAGCCCCCGAGAGGGCTCCGTGCCGAGCATCCCGGGCGGAGGCGGGCGGAGAGCGTCCCGATTGCTGCGCGAGGGGCGCAGTGCCCGTCCGGGGAGCGGAGGAGCGAGTGCCAGAGCTAAGCGCCCAGGCTCGCTGCTGAGCGCCGGCCCTGCGCTGCCCTGCGCCCGTGCTCGAGTCGGAGTGGCTGAACACACAGGATCACAGGATGGGTCAGGTTGGAAGTGACCACAGCGAGGCATCTGGTCCAGCCTCCCTGCTCAAGCAGGGTCATCCTAGAGCGCATGGCACAGGACTGTGTCCAGACGGTTCTTGAATATCTCCAGTGAGGGAGACTCCACAGCCTCTCTGTTCCAGTGCGCGGTCCCCTGCACAGTAAAGAAGTTCTTCCTCATGTTTAGGTGAAATTTCCTGTGCATCAGTTTCTGCCCGTTGCCTCGTGTCCTACTGGTTAGCACCGCCGAGAAGAGCTCTGACTTCACATTCAGAGCTCATTCCCACTCTGAATGCAGACCTCGTCTGCCTCCACCTCGGCTGAGGGAGCAGCTGGGAAAGGCAGAATGTGCATTTGTCTTGCATGGACACACAGAAGGGCACTGAACACTATCTTTGCTGTAGTGGTTTAATTGCTTTTATAGTACAGTAAAGGAACAGATTTGGGGATTTGCCCTATTCCTGGACCAAAGGGGTACCTGATGATTACAGGCAGCCTCACAGCATGGGACCATCCAATTTGTGTTGTCTGCTGAGAGTCAATGTACCTGGTGTTTCTGAAGTGTGCAGCTCACAGTTAATATGAGCAGCCTGGTCTCCTGCAAGGGGAGCCGTGCAGTTATAAACCTTTCTAAGGATGTAATTTCACAGTTAATGCAAGCCAGCTTATGTCTGTATTGCCACCAAAAAGGGCAGTCCTGCATTCCTCTCTGATCATGACCGTGCCTTCCTGTTTGTTATTTACACTACAACAACACTGATGTTGCCATCTGGCAAGGCAAGCCTGGGATCCGATCTGGTGGAAAGGCAGTTATGCCCCTCCAAAAAATTACCCAAATTCATCTGGATGAAGTTCATTCATTAGCTGAGCCTGTAGAACTACTGCAGAGGAAGGCAGAGTAGATGTGGAGGCAGGAACAGCCAACTGAGATCCCAGCGGATCCGAGCTGTGTTTCTATGTGCAGCTGCACCACTGCAGCAAGTCCTTGCTGCTGGAACTGCTGTGTGACAGCTCTGAGGGCGTCCCAGTGATGATGACCTTGTGAACACTCCCTATAGTAGTACGTGATTTCTCCAGAAAATCTCTGTTGTAGTTACTTTAAGGTAGCAGCATGAGGTCGTATCTCACAATAAGGTTCTCAGAAATGTTAACTGACAGAAGTGAAAGAGCAGGGGTTGAAACTAAAAGCTCAGTATGCCTCTTAAACAATACCGCATGTATGAATGTGTCACTCGTGTATCTACAGATCTTGCTTCCCTCAAAATCATGTGGAGATTCTTATGTCTTTGTGACTATTTTAGAACTGGGGCCAAAATCGTGATGAATTCATAACAGCTGCAACTCTGGCTTCCCCCTTTTCCAGATTTTTTCAAACTTGCCTGCCCATGACATCAATTCCTGCTGGTTTTTCACATACCCAAAAGCACAGATACTGTGCAGACCTTGCAGAGTTCAGTGTTTCTTAGGGAGAGCAGATGATAAGCAGCCTGTTCCCAACACTGCCATAATATCCCTTCCCACTAGACTATGTACCTCTTATCATATAAGGCAACACATTAACTGCTTTGTGTGAGGATTGTATCCCCCAGCTAGGAAATCGTGACACAGAGAAGACTGGTTATTTGGTCATAATCTCTATTTGTTTGGTTGGTGATTTTTTTCCCCCATCCCTTTTTTTAGTAATGCTTGAGTCAAGCAGGGATGCTTCCTCATGGCAGAGGATACCCATACTACTGCTGACCTCCCTTTGAAAAGCAGTTACTCAACACCAGAGCAATACCAGTGTCAGCCTAGTTGGATCCCTCAGAGGGAAATTTTGGAATGCATGGGTCTACACAGTTTGCCAAGATATGCTAAGTAACTGAGTCGGGAGGAAGAGAACTGTATCTCCAGGTTCCTAGCCGTACACATTAGGATAATTCAAGTTGGAGGGGACCTCAGGAGGTCATCTAGTCCAGCCAGACTATTAGAAGTTCATAAACCTGTTAATAAGGCAGATGCATGACAGCTGTGAGCATGAAAATTTCATAGCCTTTCCTGCTGCCGTGGTTAGACTCCATCAAATCTGGCTGGAGTGATGCAGAAAACTGCTGCCCTGACCATCTACTCCACCTCCTTACTGAAGGTTCCTGCCTCCACAATAGTCCCTGGATTGGAAAACACTAATGTTCCTAATCCATTTTATTAAAAAATATGGTATTAAAGTCATGTTTGGGAGCAGTTTAAGTGAATTTGCTGGACCTTGTATTGAAGCAGCTGGGACTAGTGCATGCGTTTCATTGCACTGACTCTGCTGTGAGGCAGTAATCTCAGGCAAAGAGAAGGTAAGAAATTGCTGGGAGGGGTGTGACACCTTAAGCACTGAAGCTTGTTCTACTATGAGTATATTCTCATGGCTTACAGCTTTTTATTTTTTGATAGAGGCTTTAAGCCTAGCAGCTCTGGATAAGATGTGAGGTTGGTGGGTGTCAGCAACTGTGGTTAGGCAGGATCCAGCCATGGTGGTGTAGGAGAGCATTACTCACAGCCAAACCCCAGGAATTTATCATGCCCCTTTCCAGCAATCTGTGAATCTGCCAGCAGAGCTGATTTTGTGCCCTCTCGCTCTGATTTATTCTAGTCAGTTCAATCAGGAGCTGATATAAATTAATGTAACTCTTTTGCCATGAACATTAGGTTTGGTTCACAAGTGTCTCTTCAGCTAGAGTAATTGCAGACACTGTCAGAGAAGTTTAAAGCTATCCACTCTTAGGGTCTGTGTCAGATTAACAAAACTGGTTTCTGAATTGATTTGGTTATCATTACATAAATTCCAGCAACTTGAGGGCTGGCACAGGCTTTTAGCACAAAGTAGCAGAGAGCTTCGTTTGTAACCTCCTCCCACACACAAAGTTCTGCAGGAGAAGGTTGAAAACATGTGAGAAGTCTATGAATTATGAACTGCCCTTTGCTTTTGTCTTGCAATTATATTTAACCAGACTACAGGAATTATTGTGCCTTCATAATAATCTTTAATGCTCACATGCAAACCTAACTCTTTACCAAAGGTCTTACAGGTGTGTGGAGAAATACTGTAATAATGGAAAGTGAAAAACAATAGGGAAGCAATAGGGAAAAGAAGATGCATGTTACATATTCACAGGCATTAACTTTCCAAGGGAAGTTATGCACAAGTCAGTAGAGGCATCAGTAGACTGTTAATTTTCATACACACAAAGTAATTGTTCTTCTGCATAGATATTGTTATGTTATGTTTATGTATTTATCGGTGTGACATATCCACCGATTTCTCTCCTAGGAAAGAACCTCAAAGTCTGAACCTTGAGAAATTGTGATGGAGTGGCAACATAGAAACATTTAGTCAACATCTTTCCCCTAAGGCACATCTCAAAATGATGTGAATTGTTAATAGAGAACAGTTTAAGGAAAAGCAGTTGATTCTCAAATGGGTTTTCATTTAAGTTGGAAAGTGAGAGTAGGAATGGGCAAGGGTGTTTTTATTTATCTGGTCAATGTAGACATCTGTCTTCTAGGTCTCTGCCTCTGAGTTAGCTTTCTTCTTAAGTGAGAGAGGGAGAGAGTGATACTTTGAGGATGCAATTCCTGTTTTAACCAACATGGTCTGTGCCCTGAATGTGTTTAGTTTTTTTTCAGAGCTTATAGCTGACCTAGCTGATCAGCATAAATATAAATGTTTGCACTGTAGATGCCTAAAGGTAGGTGAGAGGAGTCCTACCCAATATGTTTGTTGTATTGTTAAACCATAGCAAGGGAAAGCTGTCAGGCAGCTTCCAGTTGGTTAATTAAAATGACAAAGAACAAGCTAGTGTCACATTAATGGAAAACACAGGCAGAAGAGAAGACGGATTTTTGAAATGGGTTGGAGCAAGCCCACAGTACATTGAAAAAACCCCACCTGTTCTGTTTTGAGTCTGCAGACAGAAATTAGAAGAATTAACAGGAACTAGGATATCGTGTTACTTTTCTGTGTATACTCAACATGCAGAAGCATTTTGCATATGTTGGAGTATTACAGTTCGGAGAAGAAATAAGAAAGTAGCTTACAGTAGTCCAAACAAAGAGAGAGGAAGACTTGGACAGAAATGTCAGAGAAAGTAGAGTCAGGCCTAGGGAACTGTGTGTCAGCAACTGTTAAGTAAAAACCTGGACACGGAAAGAAAGTTTATTCACAGCATCTCAGTCCTGTGGCAGAGCACTAGACAGTATCAAGTGGCAAAGTTCCCTTAATCTGTCTGCTGGGGTTGACAACTGAGAGAAAATCTCTAGTGATGCGCTTTTGTTTGGCAGTATAACTCTTTCAGGGTACAGTGTGAATTTTAAGCTGTTTTTCTAAAGATGTGACACTTCTGGAGTTGCACGCTGTCTGTCCCATTGCAATCATTTTGAACTTCACTGGCCAGTTTCTACTGCATTTGCAAAAGGATGGTGGTCTAACTGAGTTCCTTCTAGTTTTGTGGTAAGTAGCACAGTAGAAAAAATGGACACAGCTGGTGCCT